GTGCTTTTCCAAACTGGGAGAAAACTCCGTGAAAACGGAGGGGATGTTTGTTCCGTGAAACGGTAAGTGACGGGAGATCGGCGAAGCAAGAAAAGTTGCAGCCATCGAACCGACTTATTACCAATTTATCATGGGTGGTGGAAATTAGAACAAGAAGCTTTGGCCGGAATCGGTGTTCCAAAAGTTTCCCCTTCGCGCCGGTTGAATAAGGAAAACGGCCAGTGCACCTACGTTGGCCCGCTTACAAAACTTCCACCAACGCTTCTCTCCACCGACTATTACACTCCGATGAAACATGACGACTGCTCCTCTCCCCGGCCAGACACGGGTCATTTGTTATTTACCGACCATTACGCTTCCACGTGATCGAAATCTCCGCTTGCTTTTTCGAAGAGATCGCGCGCTCCGATCGATCTCGAGGATACTTTTCCATTCCCTTATCGATCGTATCGTTCGTTAAAATATATATCCTCCGTACGGACGACAACAAGTATCTCTACTTGTGCTGTTTTTTTCTCCATTCGTTCCACTTTGTATCTATCTGTCGAAGCGATCGTACGAATCAACGCTGTTGGTTCGTTATTTCCAACGAACTGAAAACGAGCCCGATTAAAATGACGATCGAATATGAATCCGTCCACGCGGCGGGATCTTTATGTATTCAAGCGCATTAATCCGAATGAATTATTAAATGCGGCCACGCCGGACGGTCTCGCGCGGAGCCACGAATAAACGGCCATGAATATCCGCCCCCTCTCGAGAAGTCGGCCACGCCAAACAAAGCCTATTTAGGGACGAGTCGAAACGGCCGCGAATCCGGAACGTGGAATGCCTCTTCTCGCTTTTGCCCGTCCATAATTCGCCGATTCGAAACCGATTCTTCCGCCCGGCCACCCCTCGCCATCGAGAACTCGAGTACCAACGGATAATCAAAGTTCCAAGGGAACCGTAGACACTCGAGAAAATGAACTTTGGAAGCCGGTGTAAGATCTCGAGTATAACCTCGTACCCCGGACTTACTTCCATTCTTCCCCCATCTCTCTATCTTTTCTCCTCCTTTATTTTTTTCCTTCTCCTCCTTTCTTTTCCAACTCTCTCTCTCTCTCTCTCTCTCTCTCT